CTGCATCCCCTTGAAAGGGGACTTCGAGGAATAGCGTCTTCTTTTCCACCGTCATTTAAAAACAATACTGAATAATATCGAGTAAATATGGTGAACTGAGAACAGAACCGAATATCCTCATAGCGCAGGCCTAGTAACAACCAGGAGAAACTCCCTTAAAACACTAGAAAAACCAGCTCCATGGTACAATGAGACAGTGAACATTAATTCACTACTAATTCAAGTTTCAGATACCACTTCAAAATGAAAAGCCAGGGTACACTTCAGAAAGCTGTGAGAAATTTCAAGAAAGGCTCACCGTCAATTCTGCAAGGGGGGACGACAGCACTGCATTTCATCAGAAGGCGAACTAAGTTAAGGGGGACATACCACAGTCCGTTTATGAAAGTGAACACACAAACTCGGTGTACAGAGCATTGCAACCGGGGAAATTACTGTGTGAGTTCTCAGGTAAATCAATCCCATATCGAGGCACCGGCCTCCTCCAGAATGCCCCGAGCGGCAAAATATCGTCCTGGCGCAGGCGAAGAAGTACAGAGATAACGCACGATCGCAAGCAAAATATTGTAATAAAGGGTGATCAAGAATCCATGCCAGTTGTTACGACAGAAATAGTGGCGTTTGCTTTAGCTCTTCTTTAAGGTAATGCTGGTTCTATTCTGAAGGATGGGCAAATTCTCACATGCAAAAACGCTTTCCGTATGGACAAAGCAAACACAGGCCGTGACCTGCGAACACGACCAAGGCCACCAAAAGTTATTCTTGAGAACGAAGCCTAAGCAACAGAAGGAAAAACGGCCTAACGAAGTTCGAACAAGTAATTAATTTTCAGCTGGACTACGAGCCGAAGGAACGGCTGCAAATAAGGGAACTAAGGGTATCATTGATGCAGACGACTAGCATGGGGAAAATGACCTGAACTTAAAAAACAGCATCATCACGATCAAGAGGAATTTTCAATGGTCAAAACCTGTCACGATTATGTCTGGCACTTGACGAAGAACTTATCACCGAAGATCCTCTCCGCAAGCCCAAAAAGGCTTGTTCAACAAGCCTGACGAATTTAATTACGTAGTTGATGAAAGTTAACCAGAATTTATGGCTCTCATTGAAACCTGGCTTTTGAGACATATCGCCGATTTCGTATTACTACTTAGGGAATATCGACTTTTCAGAAAATGCAGACCAACTAGGAGAGGAGGAGGAGTTATTTCTTATGTTATTTGTAATCTGACCGCCATGGCTGCAGTACATGTTCCAGCACAGGCTACGGGATTGTTAAGCATCGCTATATATGATAAATACGCCACACCGCTGACACTTTCGTCGCCATATGGTTTGCCAAATCAGACCTCTGACCAAGATGTTATTCTCAAAGCGAAACTATTTAAGGCCAGTGAGAAAATAGATGTGTTTATCGTTGCGGAATTTAATGGTCCTGATGTTGATTAGTAAGCATGGACTGTTTTGGGAGTGCCAGGCAACTTTAGTCATAAACTACTACAAAGGTCTCTGCTAGAACGTCATCTTTGGAACATGGGCGAGGGGAGGATATCAGTCAAACTGCCTTAACGTTATCTTTACTCGAGAGGAGGAAACGGTTGTGGACCTGCAGAACCAATCTCATTGGGGTCAAGCGACCAAATTATGCTCCGCTTCGAGTATTCGTTCCTTTCCGACCAAACTTTGCCCGATAAGATTGAAAGAAATATTTGGAATGGGGACAACCCACTTCATGCATCCTGGGAGACTGAATTCCATGGTCCTGTAGGTGACCACTGGAGAGTCCTAAACTCGATACTGAACCAGATTGTTTACCTAAACCATCCTATCAGAAGAAAGACAACTACTAGTCGTC